AAGTAAAAACACCTGGATGGATAAAATTGGGGCCTTTAAGGGATAATTCTGATTTATTCCAACATGTCATATTTCTAATGAATGTATTTATTCTGGCTCTATGGGTCGTACTAACTTTGCACTCTCCACTTATGTTGTAGAGATTTAGGGGAACAAGTAGTTTTACAAAACAACGTACAGCTACTGGAGCAAAAAAAATCATCTCTACACAAATCATTTCAAAAAAGTCCCCCCCCCAGTCTGACGAAAACTAAACACATAAATTAACCACCTGGGACAGCCAACATGGATGGAAACTTGCCAACTGACCTAATCATCTAACCGGCAAATTCATCCACACATGCTGGTTTATTTAATGTGTGTGGCAGAGAAAAGCTTTCAGTGTGTTGCTGTAGCAAACATTAGCCTCATACATGTAAACAAGCCAGCATCCATCCATCCATCGATTATCTATGCATCTATGCTTAATCCTCACTAGGGTCGCTGGAGCCTATCCCCGCTGACTTAGAGTGAAGGCAGGGGACAGGCTATCGCGGGGCTACACAGAGAGACAAACAAGCACACTCACATTCACACCTACGGACAATTTGGAATCACTAATTAACCTCAACATGTTTTTGGACTGTGTGGGAGGTAGCTGGAGAACCCGGAGAGAAGAAAGATCCCGGGTGTCCTCACTGGGACACGAACTGCAACCATCTGGCAAAGGGGCAACCACTGATAATCCAGAATTACCCTTAAACAAGAAAAAACAAGAGAACATCACAAAAAACAATATATTACATCCACAACAAAGAAATTCGGCATTAACAGTCACCCCACTGTTTCAAGCTGTTCAAGTGACTGATGACTGTGCAGGGTTTCCCTCTAGATCTTTATTGCTGTAACGTACCTTATGTGTGGCTTTGAGAAATTGGCCTCATTTAATAACCTGAATAAATTCACCAGTGACAAAAACAGTTTCCAAATTGCTGTTACACGAGCTGTCATCCACTTTAAAGCAATGACTATGAAAGGGGACCCTTTTGAAAGCTTTCACTTTCCCCACATGAAACCCAGTGGAGGCCCTACAGTCAACCGACATGGACTTCCCATGTGGGACCCATGTTACTGAACACATATGGGTCTTGTGTAGTGCACAGTCCACATTTAGCCCTAACAGTTTGCCCATGGCGCACTTGCTACCCATGCTGCCCACATGTAGTTCATATGGCACGCACATGTGTTCAGCTACTTCATTCAGTGACTGAATTAGTGTTGTAGGTGAATTTCAAATGTGATCGCGGTAATGCAAAACATTTTAGCTGGTTGTATCAGTTACATGATGCTGGAATTGGTTAATACACTTGTGTAAGCAAGGAAATGTACTCAAAAGTTTAATCTGTTTTTCATTGGTCTTTGCACACTGCAGTGTTTATTTTTGCACTGCTAACAAGTTGCTTCTGGGTGAAAGAAAAAAAAAAACTTTCAAGACCAAGGAGGAAGTACCTTGTGCAAGATGGCAATATTCTACCGAATCTCACACAGACAGAGAACAAGGGTTACAGGAGCTGGGAGGAGACTTTGTACAAGAAAGCTTGTGGTTGCTGTAGTGTGTTCAGCTCACTGCTTGTCCCCTGTCTTTAAAGCCTCTGCCAGCACACTGCAGCCCTCTCTGCCATGTTTATATTTCTGTTTTCCCATCCCAGCATAGTGCTCACGTTGTTATTTTCTCCGGCCCTGCCTTGTGGTCTATGGAACCATGTTTGCGCTGCAAAATGAACACAGAGAGAGCTCTGCAGAAAATGCTCTGCGAGGTCATCATGTGTCACATGGCACAGCATTAAACTCACAAAAGAATTTTATAGGGACGAGGGGGAGGAGGAGGAGGAGGAGGAGGAGGAGAGGAGAAATGGGGACAGAGGAGAGGAAAAGACAGAGATGTGGTAATTTCACAATTTTTATTCTCCAGCTATATGTCACATAGTGTTTGTGACATCTCAACATTATACCACAGTCTATTCATTGGGCTTTTAATGGACTGTTGGACTAAAGCATTGTTATATCCACACTCACATATGTGTTAGTGCTGTGGGTATGTGTATATATATGTGTGTGTGTGTGTGTGTGTGAAAGTCTTTACATTTTTATCTGGAAACATGCTTTGGCTCTAGGATATACAGCAATCAGCCACAACATTAGTTGCTACAACAGTAGGTGAGATACATAAGGCAGCAAGAGAACAGTCATTTCCTGCGTTACTAAAGTTCGTTTTTGAATGCAGAAACAATGAGGATCTGAGTGACTCTGATAAAGACCAGATTGTGATGACTTGATGACTGAGTCAGAGCATCTCCAAAACAGCAGGTCATGTGCATGTTTTCAGTATACAGTGGTTAGGACGTACCGAAAGTGGTCCAAGGAAGGACAAGCAGTGAACTGGTGAGAGGATCATGGGCACTCAAGGCCCACTGATGTGTGTGGGGAGCGAAGACTGGCGCATGGGATCCATGAAGTCAGATGCCACCTTGTAACTTCCAGGACTTAGAGAATCTGTTGCTAATGTCTTGGTGTCTGATATGACAGGACACCTCCAGAGGTCTGTGGAGTCCAGACCTCCATGTCAGAGCTGTTTTTGGTGGGATAAGTGGCGATCTCTGTAATACTAGGTTGCAGCTGATAATTGTGTAATGAATGAGCTGTATGTCTAATTGTTTAATTGTGTGGACATGATATAGTTTTAAACACACACAAGAAAGGCGTGAACAAGGAAATGGTATTTTTTTGTTATAAATTTTGAAGACTAATTTTAAAGCGGCTGAAAATTTTGTTTAGGCTCATCTCCAGCTATTCTAGTTCTTGTCTTTCAGCAATGTGCTGTATTAACTGCACTTTACTGATGTCATTGATGCAGGTTCAGCATTTGTTTCAAGGCTGGTGCAAGTGAGTAAAACACATTTTAAAGCAGAGTAAGAAAAAGTGCCAATTTACTCTTTACAGGCACTTTTAGACAATATAGTTCCAGGAACTGAAGAGGCAGAGAACGTCCCTTTTCCTGTTTGTGGTTCTACGGCATCTGAAGACATGTGAAACAGATGAATTAATGACAGAGCAACAAAACCCCAGCAAAGTTTGAAAGTGATTCCCACATAGAGAGAAACAACCACAGAGGGAGAGGGTTAAAGTCATTGTGTTGGTCATTGTGTTGGTGTTGGTCGTTTGAATGAATGTTGCAAAGCAGAACTGAGGAGGTCCAAAGTAGTAATGACAGGTTCACGGATTTATGGGCATTTATTTCTGCTTCACTATGTAACTGTAATGAATCAAAGAGCAAATACACATTTCTGTTGTTGGCTCTGACAATGGCTCATCTTTTTCTCTTGTGGTTATTCTTGTTCCCACACTTCTCTCATTGTCTTCTCTCAGTCAATCAAAAACATACTGAAAGAAACATCCATCCATAGACCTAATAATTATTTTTGTGGCAACAAGTGCATGTGATCAATTTGTGTGTCTTATGAACTCAGACCTTTTTCTCAGTTAAATCTCCAACAGAACAAGTTCGTAACAAGTCCACCACATCAGAAAACAAATGTACATAGCCATTCTGAACAGCCTGGGAGGCAGAGTGAAAAAACAACAAAAACAGTCACCATAGAGAGAGGAAAGATGTATGTGATCACCTAGAAATGGGTAAGAGCTTGCATTTCCATACGGTCTCTCCAGGAAGACATTCATAGTGTTGCACTCATGAAAAGTGCTGCAAACTGCTGAGTGACAACAGAAAAAGAGATCAATCCTCGACTCCTACCAGTGCAGAACTGGCCACTCACTGCATGGAGTGGGTGTGAATGTTGGAAAGCCAGTTTTTTGGAAATTTACAGGAATTGTTGGACACTGCCCCACCCTGAAAAGGTGTGGGGGAGGACGTTTCCAAAGCTATTCGACTGTTAGACAAGTAGATCAAAAGGAGTGTAAAGGTTACCCAACTTACGTATGAAGCCTTCCTGGTGGCTCCGTGAGGACATTGTTATTACTCTGAGACGTGTTGGAACAAATAAAGTACTTTTGCTGTTTGCAAAGCCTTAATAGCGATGAGGATGGAAGATGTTTCCTTTTTCACAAGGGTGGAGTCAAGGTACACAATAATCTGAAGATGTCAGCCCTTTGGGGACATGAAGGTGCTCAATCAGCTTCACAGGAAATGTATATGCTATGCATTTTAGTAATTTTGGCACAAGAGTCTCTGAAGTTGAAAAGGTTGATCACAGGGAAAAGCATGAATGTACATGCACCAAATAAATGTCATGGAAAAATGCCAATTAGATTGTTTTATTTCAGTTCGATACTTTCCAGTTGATATTTTCATTATGGTGCTACTCGTACAGACACAAAAAATTATCGCCTGAGAGTCACAGATACTGTGTGTGTCTGTAACAAAATGGGAATCTTTATCCTGATGGTAAAATACCTGGAGAAAATGATGACTGGTGATTTTTATTTTTTATTTTTTGTAACAGTAGTGGATGTCAAGGTCTGGGATATATGAGATGATTAGAGAACAGTCAGTTTTTGTTGAAGTGGGGATGAAATGCACAGACGTCAAGATCTGAAATTATGGCCAGATGACTGGGTTGGAGCATCTCTGTAATGGTAAAGCCTTGTGGGGCTAGTGGTGAGCACCACGGTGTTGGCATGTTCTGGCACAATTCTGATCCTCAGTGGCTCCAATTTGCAACCTTCAGGACCTAAAAGATCTGCTGCAAATGTCTTAGTACCTGAACTAGAGGTGTTGTGTAGAATTCAAGCCCCAGCAGGTGGGAGATGTTTTGCTGGCATGTGAATTAGGCAGGAGTAGTTTTGACTCATTGATGTATGCTTAATTTATGTGTTAATCTGTCCAGTGAGTGTCAAATTATGTTTTCCTGGACTAAATAGTTTGATGAACAACTGGCTGAATAAGTTTTCACCCATGATTTAGGAAGGTTGGACTGGACAGAGGTGGACTCTTCTACTGAGCCATGTTGCTGTGGTCAGTATGGAGTGTAACGTTGCTACTGACTGCGCTGGAGGCTGCAGAAGAGGACGATGTCCGAGCAGGTAGGTGTTACACCGGCACACCTGAGAGAGCCCATTAAAGTGGATACCAGCGTAGCATAATATAAAACGATTGTGAACTGACCTCTTGAGTCTAAAATTTCTGAAAATTTACTTTGTATTCATCTGTATTTTAAAGTGTTCTCTTTGATAACTGTTTGCATATATTTATGTGTGTGTGTGTGTGTGTGTCCATGTGTGTACACAGGCTGCAGCACAGCCGTGAATGACCTGGTGTATATTGTTGATGGCTCATGGAGTGTTGGCTTCTCTGACTTTGACACGGCCAAGCAGTGGCTTATCAACATCACCAGTCAGTTTGACATCAGTTCCCACTACACACAGGTAATGTGATCCACTTTATGCTGTGCTGAGCTTCCCTCAAACCACTGACATCGTATTTCTCCTTTCATATTTAGCAGCATTTTTTAAACCCTATCTGAATGACACTTTGTATATGTGTCAGTTGCTAGCTTTTATGAAACATCATGTTCCTACAGATTTGTTGGCCTGTTATATGAGCTAAAGAGCATCAGCTAACCTGTATTCCACCTTCATTAGTATTGTCTGTGTCTGCTGTAGGTGGCTGTGATCCAGTATAGTGACACACCTCGACTGGAGATTCCTCTGGGGAAACATCAGGGCGGAGCAGAGCTCATCCAGGCCATACAGAGCATCACCTACCTGGGAGGAAACACACAGGCAAGACTGCATGCTTTTCCTTTGCATTACAGTTAGGACCCTGAAAATATATTCCGTCATACATGCTGATATCTTGATGCAGGTTGACACTGAACATGCACACCGTACACATATATTAGATTTTAGATTTTAGGCATAACGTATTCCATTTTATTTCATTTGCAAAATCACCAAATTAGAATGAGTTTCTACCAGAAAGAAAGAGAAAGAGATTAAGTATCCAGAACAGCGACAACGCTATTTGTGCTGCTTCATTTGACTGAACCTTGAACACATGTCTTCTCCTCCCATGACATCAATCACCTAAATGAACAAATCAATCAGGATGGGAAGAAAAATAAAGTGCTAAACTTGTTCCAAGGGTGTTGAATACATTTTCAGTTTCCCTTCTCATTTATTTGAAATAAAATGTGAGAAGAAACCATTAAAAACTGTGCAGCACATGAGCCCTGCTGCAGGGGTGTAATGGTAGAAGGGTGAGGGGAGGGCTGGATCTAATCTTGACCTCTTTAGGAGTGATTATTGTAAAGGATAAAAAGTAACACACAGCATAAAAAGATCAGTACAGAATAATGAATCCATTCAGACACAGTGTTTATAGGTGTTAAACTAGTGAAGGTTTATGACCTGATGCTTCACTACTGACTCCTACTGGTTGAGTTGGACACCTGCGTGCAGCAGGGTGGACGAGTAAAGCCTAAAATATACTATAAAATGTTGTATGCAATCTTCACTGCTTCTAGTTCTTCTTACAAAAACAAGAAACTAATAAAGTGGAACAGGCTGCGGCTGGTTATATCCACGGGTGCCAACATTCACTCAACACAGGTGCATCTGCAGCAGCATGACCACACGGCAACACCACAAGCAGAAAAATGTTCAACAAACACAGGCACGCAAACTTTGAGAAACAGAACTACAAATCTGTCCCTTTGAATTCTGTATTCTACAGCTGTATCCTGTTACATTTAGATGGTGTAATACTAAGGCTTCCCGTTTCAAAAAGAGCTTTTTTTTTTTTTTTTTTACAGGTTTATATCATTTAATTTGCACTTTGTGCTGCAGCTGCTGTTGGCTTCAATCTAGTGAACAGTCCAGTTCACACGCACATGTTCCCTCACAACGTCATGCTTTTTTTTAATTGGCCCCACCAGTGTGTCAGTAATTTTCTGACTTGTTTGTGCAGACGGGCCGGGCCATCAAGTTTGCTGTGAACCACGTGTTCTCCTCTTCTCAGCGAGCCAACCTGGTCAAGAACCGCATCGCTGTGGTGGTCACTGATGGCAAGTCTCAGGATGATGTGGTAAATGTCACTGTGCCGTTGAGTTAAACCAAGTCAAGTTTTTTTTTTTGATTGGCCCGAAATCCCAGTGGAGCTTCCACACTATGGCATTAATATGAAAGTTGCTGGTTCATACTCTCTGACGAAGGATCACTTTCACCACAGAAACCCTATTTTTTTTTCTGTAGGTGGATGCCAGCATGGAGGCTCGAGCTCAGGGTGTTACAGTATTTGCTGTGGGAGTTGGCAGTGAGATCACCACCTCGGAGCTGGTATCTATCGCCAATAAACCATCATCCACCTATGTCCTATACGCTGAAGATTACACCACCATCGACCGTATCAGAGACTCCATGGAACAGAAGCTATGTGAAGGTCAGAAAATCAAGCTAAGGACTTGATTTTTTTTTTTCTTCTTATTACGCTGTAAGGTGTGTTGGTAGAACTGTTGACAGCTGGTATTTTGCCAATGTTACCTTAGACACTGGCATTGACATGAGTTTTTAAAATTATATATCATGTTAGTCTTTTTATTTATTTTTTTTTAGCACTTTTTTTTTAGCAATTCAAAATATGAATTTCAAGCTCCTACGACTGAAAATGTAATATCCTCTGCCACATACACACACACACATAAATAAACAAATAAAGAGATACACAAAGAGAGCTGTTTTTTTTAGAGAATAGTCTTTTAAATGATCTAACAACCTGTAATGGGATATTTCTATGTTAGGACAATTAAAACGACTGTATTTAAGGCCTGGGTTGGATACTCCTCAAAGAGTTTCCTGTTGCACTATTGCAGACTTAATTTTGCTTAGTTTTTATCCAAAAATAGATGCCCTTTGTTATCTGTAAGAATACAGATCAATGTACCACCAAATAACACAGCATACTCAGAAACTGCACGACTGTTAGTTTCTGTTGAGTTGGAGGTTAGCTGTCTGAATAAATTAGTTTTTTCTTTCTAGAGTCTGTATGTCCCACACGAATCCCAGTGGCGTCTCGTGATGAGAAAGGCTTTGAGCTGATGGTGGGCATGAACATTCAGAAGAAGGCCAAGAAGATCCCTGGCTCTCTGGTTTCAGAAACAGCCTACACCCTCACTGCCTCCACTGACATTACTGAGAATACCAGGTATCATACATTCCAAATCAGTGTGTTTGATTCTGTCTTGGTTTTGCGTTATTAAAAGTACATAGATATATAATTGTTTTACTTCATCTGTCTTCTAGAGAGATTTTCCCAGAAGGCCTCCCTCCATCCTATGTGTTTGTAGCCACTGTGCGTCTAAAAGGGACTTCGAGCAAGCTGCCGTTTGACCTTTGGCGGGTGCTGTCAAAGGATAAGGAGATCCAGGCTGCAGTAACACTGAGTGGAAAAGACAAAGCTGTCACCTTCACTACGACCAGCATGACAGAAAAGGAACAGAGAGTCACCTTTAAAGCAGGCTTTCAGGTTGGTGAGGATTGAGTGTCCATAACAGATCAATATGGGAAACATTTCTCACTCTGCTACTTGCCTTTTGGCTTGGCTTTGACTTCAAAGCCCCTTTTTTGAATACGACCAAGTGTAAAAATTCCTGTCAAGAGACGTTACTGCACTTTTGCCTGTGGATAAAGCTACAAAGACTGCGTGAGCTCGACTATTCATCACAAATTATTCAGGTTGGTTGACCTTACCATGAAATTTCAGATGAGCTAAGAGGTGTAAAATCAAACCAAGACCTCCTAATGTTGAAAAAATTATATTAATTTTCCCTTCTTGGCATTGATTAAACTTTAAAAAATGAATTTATGTTAATCAAAATGACTTTCATTTTTATTTCATTAAAATAATCTCTTTATGACTAAATATGGCCTAGAAGTAACTCGACACCTTTACTACATTTAGTATGCACAGATTTATGAATATGCTAATAGGCCTCTGCCTCTGTCTTAACCATCTCCTCGACTGCTCACCTGCTCACAATATGCTGTTTCAACTTAAGCAGAGTCAAAGCTTGTTGTGAGAATCTCTCTGCTCTGCCCTCTAGTGGTCAAAAATCACTTGATGCTCCTTTAAAAAGCTCAGTTAATGCAGCTGCTTAAACCTCGTAATTCGTGATTCGTAATGTAGAAAAAAAAAGAGAAAAACGCAAAAATCACAACAGATTATACTGATGAATATACATGGCATAGTGTGCTGTGCTACTGTGAAAGAACACATTGTGTTATTGCAGCGTCTCATCCAATCTTGGGTTTCCCTTCATGTTAGTTGCTATGAATGAGCTTGACTGGGATGACTTGCAGAGGGCCAACCTAGCAGTTATTTAAATATCATCCACTGTTCGCTTCAATACGCTGCTGAAACAGAGGAGATGTAATGTGATGGAGGCCAGGAGGAGGCTCAAAGAAAATGTTTCCTGCTCTAAACCACTGACTTTCCTCAGTGGAAACTAGTTGGTGGATGTGTAGTACTTGGAACGCATGTCCCTGTTTCCATGGTAGCACAAGGTAATGATCCTGTTGGGCTCGCCAGGTTGTTTTTTCCAACGGGCATCCACCATCCTCCATCCTAGCACACACCTAGACTTTAGCGAGGAGTGCTGAACAAGGTTGTAATTATGTTGAATTTGTGTTTGCACATGTTTGATTTGATTTGGTTTGATGTGGCACGAGGTAGAGGCCTGTGATTTGTCATTTGGAGATGACGGCTGTGGCTCAGTCCCAATGAAACAATAGCTGCTCTGTTCCTCTCTCCCACTCTACGGCTTGAAAAAGTTTGTGATGGAAAAAGGAAGGAGTTCTTGGTTGTAATACTTTGCTGTTCGTAACTATTTGCGTAGTATTTAGGGAACACATTTTTGGCCTTACTGACAAAATTAGATTAAATGAACCACACATACACACACATACACATGAGGTCTGCCAACAGAAATGGAAGGCTGAGTGAAAGAGGATTTGACAAGTTAATAATTGTTTTCACATCCAACTTTGCTCATGAATGGAAGCCTGGACAAAGATGTGCTTCAGTCTCTCAGCAAATGCATCTTTATATTTGAGATAATCTTGAAAAAAGGAAGGTGTTCATGAAATATATACTCTCTCCCTCAGAGTCTGTATGATGGAAAATGGCATCAGCTTAAACTCCTGGTGAGGCCACGTCACGTCACTGGTTTCCTTGACGATCAGCAGATCCAGGAGGTCATGTTGGACCCAGTGGAGCCCATTTACATCAATGGGGAGACACAGGTGTCTAAGAGGCGAGGAACGAGCGTCACTGTACCTGTGAGTATCCAATCACGTCTAAATAATGCTGCAACTAAGAAGTCCATTGCAGGTCATCACTTGCTTGAAAGAACATGAGTTGTTTTGAGCAGATTTAAAGAATATTAATAGTTTAGATTTAGGAGATGTTCAATATTATTACATTGTTTTATACTGAATGTCTTTGACACATTGATCATTTGCCCAGTAAAGACCTGGTAGTGGAGAAACATTACTGATTCTCAGTCCACTACAGTTTTGGTATTGGTTGTTGATATTCGGTTCAGTCCATGAAAAAACTGAAAGAGTGAAATTTACATATAATAAGAGAATGAAGAAGAGGACTTATTGTACGTGTTCACAGGATCTGTCATTTCTGTGCTTCCCATTGATTGTCTATGTAAGCAGCCATGCAGTGCTTTCTGGTAGGAGACTGAGGGTTGGCTACTTAATGTGAAACAGTGGCGCCCAGCAACCACGTGATACCTCTGGAAAAACTTTTTAACTATCTGTTGTGGAAAATAAAATAAATAAAAACAGATCTAGCAGCAGCATGGCTTATGTCTTGCCTCTAATGGTTTTAGAAACACATTTTGACGCAATGTATTTGTATTATAAACACACACACACACACACACACACACACACACACACACACACACATACATATGTAGGCTTCTGAACAAGCCGCCATATTGGCGTGGTTTGAAATCCAGAAGCCGCCAGCCCATGAGTAAAGCATTCTTCCAATCAGGTGTAGCCACTGTTTACGCAAGTGTATGAGGGTGTCGCCTCTTATGGTTTCCTGTTGGAAAACACCTGTCAATCATCTGTCATCACTGCCTTGTCCCACGCCTATTAAGCGTCCAGTGTTGGCAAGTGGCATGACCCCTCGCATCCAAAAGCGCCACTGCAGACTCTTATCATTATGCCAGTGTTTTACTTTCTGTGTCCAGATTTTGTGCACCCATAATTTGTAGACGACAGTACAAGGGCAACAGTGTGCATGACCGGACTAGATAGATACAACCTAACGTACATGTATGGATGAAGTCTTCAAGAGTGGACTGTCATAAGGTAGAAAATAGAATAGAGGGTTAAAATGTACAGACACCTACAGACACTACAGATGAGCAGCTGTTGGTTTTACACTACTTTTCTAGTGTGCTGGAGTCCACTTGGAGACTCCATTCCATGTATGTTTAGTAAGTCATAACTATGTGTTCTGCTACTGTTGAGCATGCGTGTTATTGGCCTTGTCATTGTGCTGATTGACTGTGCAGACACAAACTTAGGGCTGAACACAGATGTCGAACCTTCACAGAACCCTCTGGCCTAATGGCAAGAACATGTCTGAGTTGTCGGAAGTACAATCAAGACTTTAATAGCAATTTGCACAATGGTAATTCTAAAGTTTTCTGTAAAATATTCTTTTGTAGCCTAATAATACATCCGTGTGTAACAACTACAGCATGATGGTTTTGTGCATGTGTGCAGCAAGGTTGAGGTTGGGGAAAGGCTATGGTCTTGATTAAATATATAAAAACTAAACAAAGTTAAACTGATGCTAGAGTTGCTGTGAATTGAATAGAAGGATAGTACAACTTTGATGTAGTATACATTGCTTTATTTATGTCCTGAACCGGGATGAAGAATAAACTGATGTCCTACTGTCTAAATAATTATGTCTGTATCACATTTCTCATGAATCCGGTGTTAGTGTCTGTTATAATCACTAAGGTACCAGACGGCTATTGATTTAATGCATGATGTTAGAGTTCAGACTTCATAAAAGTTATGAGAATATATGCACTTCATTATTGATGTTTATGACTAAAAATAAAAGAGATATTACACCAAATACCAGCTACATGACATCTATATGTATACCAGTGAGATGTCTGTTGACAGTCAGTAATGGAATTTTTTTTACATTCTTTTGATTCAGGTGGAGATCCAGAAGCTGCGTCTGTACTGTGATCCTCATCAGAGTGAGAGAGAAACAGCTTGTGAAATCTACTCTGTGGTAAGAGCATCCGTCTGTACTTTGCAGTCTGTATATAGCTGCATTTTAAGGCTGCAATGATAATAACCAAAATTTTTCTGTCTTTCTCTCTCTCTCTCTCTGATATACAGGATGATGAAAGGGTAAGGGTGAATTCAGTCTTGTTTCTCACACATTTTAATCTGTTGAAAATGTTTAGCCACGGAGGTGAAGGATTGTAAAGGTAATATAACTGTCACTAACTCTGTTAATCTTGATGCATTTTTGTATCCTCAGTGTCCTCTGAATCGAACGGCCACAGCAGAAGAAGAAGAAGACTGCAACTGTGTAGTCGGCCCACCAGGGCAGCGTGGCCCGCCAGGACGCATGGTAACACAAACACATACACCTATGTGCACACACACATTTAAATTATTACTTGTTCTCTCACCTCTCTAGCAGTTTTGACCCTCAAATGTACAATTGGTTGTACAAGTGGACACCTTATTGGTCTACTCACTGTGCCGATGTGTGTATATGTGATCAGTTGTCTTACTATAAGCCAAATTATTACGACTGATTTATCTGAGTAGTTAAATACAAAATGTACCGCTTGTTTCCACACATAATCTTTCTTTCTTCTTCACTTTTTTGTTGCAACAATCATCAGTTCCACACTGTGTCATTACACTGCTCCACAGTGGTACATGCTATATGGAAAGGGAGGAGAGACCACAACTGGCAAATTGCAAACTAGGAAAATGCTAGCTTGTATGTATTTGATGTGGATTTGGTGCATCAAACCAAAAACATATATATCATGACTTCACTCTGCTTCATTCTGCTAATGACCTCTAATACTGTGTGGTTGTAATGACTCACTTCTAATGAGTCACTGTAGTATTTGTTCAGCCGGGGAGATTTCTGGAAAGTGTTTGAAAGGTTCTTTCAACATACTGTGCAGTTCTTTTGCAGAAAAATACAAAAAAACACAAAAAACAAATCAATGTTCAAGCCTGATATTTATTTGTATCTTCAAATTAGTTGGACATGTTTTCTGCAGGCTCCACTATGTTCCTGACCAAAGACCTAAACAGTTGCTTAGACTGAAAATACTGCAACAAAAGATTTTGTTTACAAGGATTAAACTTAATTTAAATGAACTGATTTCAAACCTCTGTTGCTCTACATCAGTAAAACTTATCAGACATTACATTGTTAGCTTCAGCTGTTTGGTTTTGGGTGTGTTATGTCACCTGCTTTGTGAAAGGTATCTGTGGACAGATGTGGAAGTTAAATTGAACAATTAAATGCACTTCTTCTAAGTGTCACAATATAAAGAAAGGAACAAATATGACAGAACTAAAGAAGGTAAATGATCACCAAATCATTACAAGTCATTGTGAGGGGAAGTGTTTGTACCAGATTTCATGGCATTTCATCCAAGAGTTGTTGACATATTTTACTGAGGGTCAAAGTAGTGGATGAAGCAGGAAATATGTATTAAGTTAAGCCTTGTAAGTAGCCATCAGGACAATGGTCTAATGTCAAAACAATGCTCTTGTAGTCATGATGGAGTGTTTTTATCACACAGGGCTTCCGAGGGGAGAAAGGGAGAGAGGGGCCACCAGGACCTGACGGTAAGCCTGTAAGTGCTAATAAATTTCTACACTTCTTTCCTTTCACCATTTCATCGACCTGCCACCAGTCTTTAGGATATCTGCTGTCTGAACATAATTGAATTATATTGTCTGTGTCTCAGGGTAAAGAAGGGAAGCCTGGTGATCTGGGCCCTCCTGGATTACCAGGGATCAAGGTAAGAAGATTGTGCATTCTAATACCTTTGAATACCCACTCTGCAATAATCACTTTCTCCTCCTTTAACCCTTGTACCTGTCTTATTCACCCTTTACATCCTTCCTTTATGGCACACTATCCATCAGTTTGGTTGTGTCTCTTGATATGCTGATGATAACCAGCTTTATGTGTTTGTGAATCATCTCATGGAGCTTAGTGCCTCTATATCTAACAGGTGTTGCTAGTCTTGACTACTTTGAGCATCTCTATTCTTTTGCAAGCCAAGAATCTGTAGCTCAGTTACAACTTGTCCAAATGTTTGCTTTGTAGTTACTAACTAAAAGCCCACAGTGTGCCTAATTATTGTGTTTTTATTGTGATATCAGGCAATCTCTGGTTAGATGCAGCAGTTAATCCAAGACAATTTTCTTTTCAAGGAGACAGTGAAGTCACCTTACCTGTAACTAGATATTACTCTAGTGACTGTTTCAGTATGTTAGCCTCAATATGCTGGCTTGCCAAAAATCTGTGTATTCAGTTTGAGGACTTGGCTCCACCATGTTGTATATCAGTGTGTTGCTGGTCCCATCAGACCAATAGACCTCTCAAGTCTTTAGAACAAGGTCTTCTGGTGGTAGCCAGTTCAAAATTTTACAGTTTCTGATGATAAAGCTTTATCTGTCCTGGATACCAGATTATGGAACAGTCTTCCTCTTCGAAGGAAAATGTCAATCCTCAACACTAGGAGTTTTCAAATTCTGAAACTGTTGGTGTCCAATTAGACAAAAACAAGATAACTATATTCCTATGATGCAGTGGTGTATGTATGATTCAGTGATTTGCTGTGGGCTATGACTCAAGCCCTGTGGTTTACGGCTATATTTTTTTTGGACATTTTGGCAAATTAGCACCATTAAGAGCATGCTGAATTAGCAGTTAGGAGTTCTTGTTTACAGAGCACCCACAGACATGATGACAACTATTACTGGATTACATTCATACTGGAAAAACAAACAAACAAACAAAAAACACTTTAAAAAGTAATGATTCAGGTAAACTCTTCAAGGAATGAGGACTATTTGAGTTTTTCTAAAATGCATTTATGGACATTTATCCACAGTGGACATCTAACATAATGACATCCTTGGGAAATATAAATTACACTGCTATATAAAAATAAATGAAGCATGTCTGCAAATTCAGATTTGACTGAATTATGACCCTGAGAAGAAGTAGCTTATGTAAGAAATTTAGCTTAAAAACATCATGGGAACGTATTACGAGCCATAGAAGGGGCTTACTAACTAATATTCTATGCAGCTTATATCAGTGAGTGAAATTCTGTCATATGTTGTATACTCTTAACAAGTGTTTTCCCTCCACTGGGCAGGGTGAAGATGGCCCTGAAGGATTAAGAGGGGAGCCTGGTCTTAAAGGTAACAAGGTGAGTCTCTAAAGAAGCATATTCTTTAGTGTTGTCTTTTTCTAATTTGCTTCCAGTACTGACAGTAATTTATTCTATTGATACTGCCCAGGGAGACAGAGGGGAGCCTGGCTTACTGGGAGAACAAGGTCCCCCAGGACCCAAGGTGAGACTAATCCCAAAAATGCTTTTGGGGGATTTCTTTTTGTTTTGTTTTTGTTCTCCTAACCCTCAGGGGTCTTGGCTACAGTTTTCAGATTTAAACATATCTTATACTGTATCTTGCTGCCATCTATACTATTTAATAGACAATTAAAACATTGTTAAGTATGTCTGTATCTTGTTCTGATAACCAATTTCTGTCCAGGACTAACTTTTCTAACAGTTCTTTTAGTAAAGCTGTTAGTGGGTGTTCTGATCACAAGATACATCTCTGTAGAGCATTTTTCAGGGCTGTTTTAAGGGGAGAAAAAGTACCTTCTCACACACTGCTTAGTGACCTTGAAAAGCTATTGTGCGGGTCTGCACTGAAATGATTGGTTCATCTCAGAAAAGACAAATACTGATAGATTAAACATAAAGAGAACGACAGTGCAGTTTTTTTCTGCCCTCTCCATGTCCTCTGCCAGTAGCAATCTTCTCCTCTCTAACATCTCCCTCACGATACAGGCCTAACAAACCTCCATTGTTCTATTTCCTACATACTCATTCAACTGCAATTTGTCGTTGGTTTGGCCCTTGGATATGACATTGTGAATATTTGCGCTGCCTCAAGTCTGTCCAGAGTTCCTTCCATGAAAAACTTTATGGGTTCAGAATTATAGATTAGATATAAAATGGTCACTATTTTCGATATCACATGATTTAATTTGACCAACTACATTTTTTGTATTACCCAAAGGGGTGGCACAGTGCTGTGGTGGTTGGCACTATGGCCTCACAGCTAGAAGGTCGTGGGTTTGCTTCCCAGCCTGGGGTCTCTCTGTGTGGAGTTTGCATGTTCTCCCTGTGGCTGACATGCAGGTTAATTGGTGATTCTGAATTGTCCGTAGGTGAGTGTGCTTGGTTGTCTGTCTCGCTATGTTGCCCTGTGATGAACTGGTGACCTGTCCAGGGTGTCCCCTGCCTTCGCCCTAAATCAGATGGAATAAACTCCAGCCCCCCCGCAACCCTACAGAGGAATAAGCACTGTATAGATAATGTTAGATAAACAATACCTCAGTGGGTGTCTTTGGATAACCCACTTGGATTCTGAACATTTTAGTGTTCTGATGACAAATTAAAAGGATAAAACACAGAGAGTGGTGGTTTAAAATGATCATATAAATGTTGAATATATTAAAGGTTACTACAAAATATGAGCAGCTTTCTTTGTATGCAGGGTCTTCCTGGTGAGAGAGGTGAGCCAGGACCTCCAGGAGAAGCTGGACCAATGGTAAGATCCAGTTCTATTCAGTGTTCATGTGTCTACATTAAGCAGCTTAATCAAAGCTCACATGATGTAAAAGAGTCAAATCTCATTGGTTAGTTCATTAAAAAATGTGAACATCAAACAATTCTGCTGCTGTTAGGGATCTATTCTCTGCACTACTATTCTTCAAGAATAGTAGTGCAGAGAGCGGATCCCTAATTATGACATGCTATAAATGTCAACCCCTTCAGATGCACACCTGTGTCACCCGGTGGAAAAATCTATAAAATCCACACAAAAGCCTTAAGATCTAAAAATGGCACCAAGATATATCAGATGTTCAACTGCATCATTATATCTGCAAAAAAAAAACACAACTAAGTTTGTATGTAGGACATCAGGGGGCAGCGTCTGGTGTGTTTGATGCAAAGGAACATTTTAAATAGAAACAGCACCAAAGGAATTTACATCAGAGGAATGTACCACATGTGAAAATGTTTACAACTTTATAGCAAAATACAATCTGCTGATGCTTGTGGTGGACCACCTGCCTTCACTTTTACTACACATATGCTGATGGCAATATTCTTTAAAAAAAAAACAAAAAAACATCCGTCTTTATACGTCTGGAAGAAATCAGTGTGATAAACAGATGTATAGACAGACATGTAGGTTATGTTTTGTGTGCGTGCAAAGTGTTTGCAGTTTTATCAGAGCAATGTTTGAAGTGAGACAGATAGTTAGTGTCATAGTGCTGGATTTCCTGCTGGTGCTCCACATTGCCTCTCAGAATATGTTTTATTGTCCACCCAGGGGGAACCAGGACCAAGAGGCACCGGTGGAGTAGTTGGACCACCAGGACTAAAGGTTAGTGCAGACTGCAGCTCCTGTAAGATCAGGTGGAAGACATATACATGACATGGCCTAAAATATGTACAAATGTGAAGAAACACTCCTTGATTGCTAAACATCTAGCGCCAAAACCGTAGGCATTAATTGTGTATGCAGCGACAATAGCCTCTTTTCTTCTGGAAAAGCTTTCTTCAGATTTCTGCACCTGGCTGCAGGGATTTGCTATCATTCAGCCTCAAGCGCAGGAGTGAGATCCTGCACTGATGTTGGGTGATATGGTCTGATTTGCACGTTGTGTTCCAGCTTATCACAAATGCATTGGATAGGGTTCAGATCAAGGCTTTCTCCACGCCAGTCAAATACTCTGGTAAAGCATGGGTTTTCTAGCTTTAGGTGGAAGGAAACAGAAATGGGCCTTCTCCAACTGAAACAAACTGCTGAGTAAGTGTTGAAATTGAAGCAAATATTTACATCCTTGTATACACATAAACTACACTGCTGGAGTGTTTTAAAGTCTGTGCTTATTCACCTCTACCAGACAGTGAAACAACGCCACAGATATCAGCAGTTTATGGTGTTTTTCATTTGTTAGAAGACACATCATTTGCAAAATAAGCAGCCAATGCCATGGCTGACCTTTCCCACCTTGAAACTGCTGTGGCCCAGTGACCATCTCAAAAATTCGGATAATATGGAAAAAAAATACGGATTCAAGCTTCTGGAGTTTTATACGTAACACATCTGAGGAACCAATCCTCTCAACTTGCAGGGTGAAGCTTTCTGTATCATTATTCTGATGAGCGGTGACAGCGGCAGGGACAAGGTAGATCTGCACATTCAAGAGGACGGTGTTGAGTTAAACTTTTGTAAGGAATTCATGGATAAACCTAAAATTGCAAGTTTGATACTTAGGGGTTAAATCAATTAAGATTATATTAGCTTCTTATGTACTCATGTATAACACTGTAAATCTAAAAACACCCCCCCTCTTTTGTCACTCAATGAAATTAACACCACTGCAGCAGAGCGGGCCATAAGCATACAGCGTATGAGATGTTCTCCTGTGGCAACTTGACTGTGACTAAATGAAAGAGCACATGCACACATCTGCAGGCATGTGAGTACGCCCACCAGCTACAAGTGTGCGATGCTATTCTGAGTCTTCTCTGAACTCCGGTTTGACTTGGCTGCTCAGTAATTTAGGACTCTTCCTGTTATCATAATAAACTACTTTCCCCCAGAATCTGGAAGTGTTCTACACCAACTGGAAGCTGCTGGTGCACAGTTGGTGTCCATATGTGGCTGTGAGTGTGGGGGAGTGGTAAATGTATTTAGGAAAGACAGTAAGGAACTAACTGGTGAGTTACATCAGAATGACAAGCAACAGCTGCTAATCAGCTACCACTGGAGCCAGAGTGTTCCCTGTCGAGGAACCAGTCTTCCTAAGAATCTTTTTTTCAAGTGAATAAGCATGTTTCTCAAAGTGCTGAGCTTTTAAATACTTTATGTGTCTGCAAAACATTTACTTTGCTTGTTTTACTTTCTGTTTTACTAAAATAAAACAGAAATTGTCAATGATATGATTTCAACGATGAGATGGGACATGAGCTTGACCCTTGACCTTGAAATGTGTTGTACACCTAGCCCCGGGTAGGAGACAAGGGGTGGCCATGGCCGTCAAAGATTTCATATTATTGTCAATGTATAGACAATATAAAAGTGAATCTGTTTTTTCTGAAAATAAAGAATGGGTAGTCTATATGTATTTTTATTAGTTAAAGTGTGTATGATTTAAGTTTATCTGGGGATTTAGTTGAAGCTCCTGCACAGACTGTTAAGACTGTAGGAATGAAAGTTACTTTGTAGGACTCTGTAAATAATTAGTACAATGGCTGAACAATAAACCCTGACCCAGAACCCAGAAAAGGAAACTAACAGTGTGATGTCTTAACTAAAGCCAATGACCCAGCCTCCACCCAGATCTCCTCACCCTGACCTCCTTGTGCTATGAAAACTTCAAAATACATTAGACCTTAAAGGTACTAATTGATATTTTAAAAAATGCATATAAAGAGTTGAGACCGCACAATAACATAAATAACTTAGCATATTATTGCTTTGAAGGAGATTACTAATGATGCAGTCATTTCACTTATCAGTCCGTGATAATAAATAAAGTATTTGCTCAAGTCATGTACTCAAGTATGAGTTTGTGGTATTTATTTAGTATTCATAGTATTTTAAATAACCAAATTACTGTATACAGCACAGTGAAATGTGCTAGGGACTATCTAGCCTGCCAGATGGTTGACTTATCAGCAGTTCCTGGAAGAAGCTGGTGACTGGAGCTGCATCATAGATGCCGCAAAGCCAACAAACAGAAAGAATTTGTTCCTACAACAGAGTCAGGGAACACTGAACGTTCTAATGATTAACAGGAATTGGTCGGCCTTTAACAAAACACAGCAACATACTGCGTGATATAAGGACTCGCTGCTTGTTGAGTGTAAATCAGGGTTATAAGGGTAGAATTTATTGATGTTTTCAGACAGTGTGTTGAACAATGTGGCTCTAAATGCAGCAGTAATTAACGAATACTGACCTTATGATAAGATTTTAGTCTAATAAAGAAACACTGAGATATTCATTCTGACACTGAACCTCCCTGTGTGCTTTCCCTGCCATGATGTTGCAGATCAGATGCTATAGGTTTCACATGAATCAATTTTTCCTCAACATTGACCAAACTTTGGTTAAAAGATGCTGCAGCAAACACATAAAGTATTGTGGATGCATTTATTTGAAGTATTTTCGGTGCGCATGTTTGTTTTTCTAATATTTGAGAACATCTCACATGGACATTTATTTTGGAGCAGTCGGAACATAAATACACCACAGATGAGCTCAAGTTGAACAAAGTTTTAATTCATGTCACACACAAGAAGTAAACTGAGCAAAGCAGTTCCGTCCTTCTGCTGCCACAGTTACGGAAACGTGGACTTCTTGAGGCTCACTTCACTGAGGCAGAAACTATTACACATGGCTTCCTTGGAGAAAACATGTTGGACAATAAGCTGTTGTCAAAGACTTCTATAACGGTGTTAGATTTGCCTGTGTTCCACATTTGTACTGAACTGACTTTGCCAATAGCTTTTACAGACAAACAAATTTGTGCACCACTGAGGTGCTTAGATGTGTTTGTTCTCCTGTTTAATGCCAAAATAAAGAATTTTAAGTCACAACTGTGGCTGGATTGACCTCCCAAAGGGGTTGTGGAGCAAAAACTTGCTACATATTGCTACTATACATGCAAGTTTTAATAATTCCACAGACACCAAAATCCAACCACTGGTCTACAGACAACACAGATAACATTTACTGGCAACAATTTTTTATAATTTCAAATAAAGCCTTCTAGTACAAGCATCTCAGATGTGAATCCTTGGCAATTTCTCAGTTTCCTATGACAATAAACCCTTATTATGTCTTTGTGTTGACTGTCAAGCAACAGAATGAATATTCTTTTTTACTTTATTTGACAGTTATGCTGCAGCTGAAAAGTTCTTTTACTGTAACTAACTGTGGCAACTAACACTTTGCCCATTTCCACTAATTACTACTACTGTTAATAACATTTCTTCCTGAAAACTGCAGCTAAACATTTTTGTTTAGAAGTCCTAAATACATTTTCAAGGAAATTAGCTGGAAAAAGAGAGGACCTGTAAAATAAGGTGACACCCAATAATTTCCTAAACAAATACATCCCTGTTCTTAACCAAACCACTTTCCACAACCTTAACCACATCATAAGTACACAAACTCCAACACAGTCTCCACAGCAGTTGTGCTTCCTTTAAAACATACTTAGCAAATCTGTTTTCTGCCATCTAAACATAATCTTTTGCAGACGTTGTTGGGTGAAGAGATCAAAGATCCACTTACTCAGTGTTTACATGGACATGAGTATTCTGTATTGAAGGCTTATCCCTTCTTTGATCATGTTCTGGGTATGCTGTTGACATGGAACATAGAAATCTGATTCTGCACATCGTGGTATACATGATAAATATCAGTATCCTGGCTTCTGACTTCTGCATTCTTTTTGTGCAGGCATGTATGATTTAGAAATAGTTAACCCAACACTTCAGTAGTTGTTAACCTTCAAGTAACTGAACTGGGGCTGTAGAAGAACGACCCACTCTGGCTCATAGCAGGAACATACGCTATGACATAGCAAAATCAAGTTGCAATTATGTTAGCTTCTCCACTTTAGTAGCACTAATGTGAGAGAAGAGCAACAGGAAATACTCCTTTCTTCCATCCATCCACTTTCTTTCATTTATCTGGGATCAGGTCGTAGTTGCAGCAGACAAAGGGGAGCATTCTAAAAGTCTCTCACCTCAGCAACATTTTCCAGTTTCTGCTGGAGTATCCTAAGATGTTCCCAGACCGGATGATGTATGTTATCCATCCAGTGAGTTCTGGGTCTACCTGAGGTCTCCCATTGCCCAGGAACATCCTAATCAGATGATCTTATCAACTAAACTGGCTCCTTTCTGATGGAGCATTTCTACTCTGAGCTCCCTGCGTGTCTAAGCGTCCTACCCCATCTCTAAGGTTGAGCTCAGCCATCCAAAAGAGGAGTCTCATTTTGCTCGCTTGTATCCACAAACTCTTTCTCTGGCTGCAAGCTTATGACCACAGGTGAAGGTTGAAAATGTAGATCGAGTGGTAGATGACCATGTAAGTCCAGTACACCCCCAACCCAGACAAAGCACTCCACAAGTTTTTGCGGAGAAGGATGGCCTCAGACTTGGAGGTTCAGACTCTAACCCCTTCCACTTGACACTTCACTTCATGAAGGTCATGGCTTAATGAAGTCAACAGAACCACATTATCTGCAAAAAGCAAAGATATGACTCTAAGGGTTCCCAAACTGGACAACTTCTTCATCCTGGCTGGGCTTTCAGAGCCTGTTCATGAATATGACAAATAGAAGCAAGGACATGGGACAAACTTGGAGGAGTCCAAGTCAGTTAGACTCCACCGAGAAATATTCATGTCCTTCATTTCAACTGGTGTCAGGCTGTCAGTTTTACCAGCACATAGGACCATGGATCAGGGGTTGAAGACAGATCATTTTAACTAGTAGCATTCACTTGTCGTGTTTCTTCACTATTTTTCACTTTGCATGTTGGGAAATTGATAACCTGTTGCCTGCAGAGTTTAATTAGTCAGCATATCAATGTTTTCTCATTACCAAAAGACAGAATTTTTTTTATTGTTCCAAAAGCGAGGTGCTTTCACAGCTTTCATCTGCGTTTTTCTCATGACAGAATTCAGACACAAGAATAACGTGTATACATGCAACTGTATCCCGGCTAGTTCCAGCTGGAAGATTCAGGCTTCTCAAATCCTGTATCCATGTAAATATACTCAGTGATGACGCAGAACTTTTGACTGAATTTCATTCTTGCAGTTAAAGACTCTGAACCTGAACGTGGAGTGGTTGAGTTTATGTCTGTATAGTCTGTGATCAGGGCTGTAACTACAGCACTGCATAAAGGTTTTTTTTCCTCTGCATTGTTGGTGGGAATTTGGGAATTCTAATGACCCGGGGAGGAGTTTACATTCCACAGTCACCGCATGGTATATTATTTTAAGTGGCTGATTCAGTCAAATAGCACTGAAAGCATTAGAGATATAACTGAGAAATGCTTACTAACAACCTGAATGAATTGCTACATAGGAGACTGTCTTATCTGAATCATTCCTGAACACTGTTGTGCAGAGCAGTTCTCATACAACTTCCAGGGAGTGAACACCCACTGATAGTACAGTAGTGGAAAAAAAAAAAAACACAACAAAAAAAACAGATGTGTACCAAATTAGCTCTCAGTGTGGTCACCGCCTGAGGAAGCCTCGCTCATCAACTGTAAAGAATCTCTGTTCCCCGAGCCATGACAGCTCCATTGAATGTTAATGAGCCCTAAACTTAGATATACTGTATAAGGCTTCAGGCTGTCAGCGTAGCCTTTAATCACACACATAAATCTGCTGTCTTTAAGCATCATACTGTACAGCAACTTTCAAACAATCTAAGATTTGATGTTTCACACCCAAGTGTAGTAAGTTCAAAATTATCAGCTTTGTGGTAGATGTAGGTCTCTTATTATCAGGCGCTGACTTTCCTACACCCAAAATTATGGAATTTTAGATGCAGCTGTGTGAGGTTTTCATGTCACAGAGAGATAACGATACTGCATATCACATGTTGCTTCCCTGTAATTACTAATCGTATAACTGTTATCTCTGAGGAAA